GATTCAGTGGCGTATCAGTGTCCTGTTCATGAAATCCCTACATTTCACTCCTGCATATGATGCAAACTGCATCTTACGGCGATTGACTTATTTTAACCTTGTTTATGGTTGCTCATTTTTTAATTCTATTAGGGAGACTATGCAATACACACAGCGATATGGATTAAAAGAGCATTCACTTATCTTGTTGTTGATTTCAGACTTTCTGAAGTGCACTGCTACTGCTACAGCAAACACTGACAAGTATTTAAATGTTGAGCAGCGAGCTCATAGGCTACCCATACCGGAGAGAACCAATCAGCTGTGCCATATGATAATGATGTCTTTGTCATATCGATTTAGATCTATCGGATTGCGCCATCTAAAGTTTCATGCCAGAACTTTGTATTTCTGACTAATAAATTATTACAAAGAACTTTTAAACAAAGTTAGTAAAGGGTATATGAAAATGTATTATATCCTTTGTTTTTCTATTATTAGTAAATGCTATAATAGCTTCTCATCTACTGCGAGCATTCAGCAAATACGCATCGGCAGAGATTGGCATCGGCTGTTAAAAAAAAATCTATATCAGTCGACCACCATTCTCTTGTGCCTCAAAACCCATTAAGATCAAAACCCATTAATTACCTATTTATAGGCTACCCAACTGCTTGCCTGCCACACACTCTTCTGTCCAAGAGGGGCCCTCACTTCAAAATCTTGGCAGTGGGTGTTAATAGTGTCATACAGTGCAGATCAAGTTACTCAGTACAGTAAAATTATGAAATAAAGGCAGTCAATTCTGCCCCCTCTACTATTTAAATCAATTTTATTTTTGTCACCAATTTTATCACCATTTAAAGTTTATTAAATCAATCATTAGTCATCTTTTGATCTCCCTGCATGACTCCTATCTGTGATGTTTATAAATTTGTAATGATGTGTATCATTTTGTTATAAGCTTGTTAGAATACTTTCTAAAGTTTCTAAATCAAAACTAAACTATAAAAAAGCCACTTATTTGAAGTGAGACGTGAACACTATGTATCTGTGGTGCTATCAAAAAACTGCTATGTTTAAGCGCATGACTATCTTTTTTCTCTGACCAACAAAAGAGTATTCCGGAAACTTTTGCAAGTCTGTTACACTAATCCCTTAAAAAGGCACAATATGTAATTTTCGCTGCTAGAGGGCACGTATTCAAAATAAACAAATAGACAAAGGCGTAGTGTATATATTATTGACTGTGACTGAGTGTGGAATCATGGGAGTTGTCGTCTTCATCCCCACAGCCGATGCAATCCAATTCTTCGAAACATTTGGCATAATGCAAGTACACAAGTCAGCAAAATATATAACACTGTTCTAGTGGTTTTTGGGTCTTTTAATAAAAAAATCTTACATATTGTGCCTTTAAGTACCTAAATCTTTAAACCTAAATTTTATAAAATTATAATAGTTTGTTATATGCATAAGTCTTGCATATAGTGGAGGACTACAAATCATTTGTATGTTGTGATGGACATCATTGGTCCCAGGGTTTTAGTGTCATGCTATCCTTATGCGTTGTTTGTTGCCTTGGATTTAAAGTACTGCAATGTCTGCAATTTAGACAAATAAGAGAGAACTTTTTGTTTTTCTTTCAAGGTCTGGCCTGAAGTTACTGATCCAGAGAAGTTTGTGTTTGAAGATGTTGCCATTGCTACATATTTGTTGGTTGGTTGAACTATTGATTGATTATTATGCATATTATTTGTTTTTAGAAATCAAATTATTATAGTTTCACCCTCAATATTTACTGAATATCTTTAATATTCAGTAAATTAAAAAATATATTGAAATTAAATATATTAATTAATTTATATTAATTTAATATAAAATTAAATATATATTGTGCATGTTAAACAAATGGACTCATAAACATCTTATTGAATCTTATTACTGAAGTCTCATTGACTCTGAGCATATCAGAGAAAAAAAACGTTGTCTCTCTGTCTCCTGTGCAGATCTTATGGGGTGAAGAGCGTGCTGAAAAGGGAACAACAACCAAACAGTCCTTTGTGGATCTTGGCTGTGGAAATGGCCTCCTAGTTCACATATTGAACAATGAAGGGGTAGGTTAACTAATACATTTGCTGCAGTGTTGAATTGCCAAACCATGTACCATGTTTCATGTCTGTAAATCACCCACACAGGTCCCTCTGTAGAGCTCTGTTAATATTCATCCAGTTTTAAAACCAATGATACAGTGAAGTCTGTGTAAATAAAATACAATAAGAACCCATCACTATTCTGTAACATTTAATTAGACAAGAGATTAGAAATTTGACTGCTTCCCTCAGGGCTTAAAGGGAGTTATATACAGCTCCTGTCATGTACTCTGTTCTGTTTTGATTAAATTGACTAAGGCCTCAGTTAGTCATTTACTCCTGGGTTTCAGCATCCTGGAAAGGGCATGGACATTCGCAAAAGAAAGATCTGGGACATGTATGGGCCTGGTACTCATCTAGAGGTAAGATATTATTTACCTTTTATTTTATAAGATATATTACCTTTTATTGTTCTTTAATCATTGGTCAGTATGGAAAGTCAATAAAATTGTATATATTATAAATGTGCCATTTTAATATGTACTAGTAGGTAGACCTGGTGTACTCAACAGATGGCCCGCGGGCCGCATCTGGCCCGTCTGCATTAATTTTGTGGCCCGTGTCATGCTGAAGATTAATGTATTTTTATTACAATTTGCGCTCAATATAATAGGCAGTTTGATTTTTTTTAATTTAATGTATGCAATCACATTAGTAAAAGCTGCTCGCTCTGCAAGCGCTGTCACTAACGGGCAATTAAACAGCAACACGCCCCAAACAACTTAAAGAGAAGCATTGTCCAACAAAAGAGGACATTTAATAACTTGATTTTACTCCACAACATCAGTCGAGTGTTCGAAATAACTTGTGATCTGTTTAAATTGTGATTGTTTTGTGATCGTTTTGTGATCTGATGTGCGCTTTTTGTCATGGAACGAGGCAAAAAATACTGTAATAAAGGCTATATCGATTAAAATTGGATTATAAATATACTTTATGAAAATACCAGAGATGAGAAGAGCACAGATAATCCATATACTGCCGCGTCGTGTGTTTACGGTCTTCATGTTTGATCAGTAGAGCCCGACCGATTTGGGTTTTTGGGGCAGATGCCGATATTACGGACTAAAAAAAGACCGATATCGATATATCGGCCGATATTATGTGTAGGCAATATAACAGTACAGTATAGTCAAAGGTCTGTACACACTTCCCATTCGTGTGTCCAAACTTTTGACTGGCACTGTATATAGAATGCAGTATATACATAAACAGAATATACATACATTAACACATTTTTTGCAATGGTAACTCAAATGTGGTGATCAAACACTTGTCACTATGTGACAAATAGGCCTATGTAATGGAAGCCTGGAATAAACTTTATTATTCAAAATGAGTCTGACATCAGTGCACTTACCAGTAAACTTAACTTATTATAAATAACTTAAAAAACACAAATAGAACAAAATACATATAACTTGAATTAAGAAAATAAACAAGGTAACTGTATAGGGCAAGCAAGCTATACTGCCAAACCAACAGGGGCAGGTTTATGCAGGAAGCACAGCTTTTCCAAATGTAAACATCTAAAATGAATAAATAATAATAATGAATAATATTTTTTCACATTCTGTGTTGTGTATTTTCTGGTAATTAAATGAACATGCAGAACATGAGTATTCGTATTTAAAAGTTTTTTGCAGTTTAATATTCACAGACACTAGTGGCACGCTTGGTCTTTACCCATATTAGGGTTCCCTTTCATAGGTTCACTTCAATGCTGCGATGGCATCATCGCTATGGGAAATATCTCCGATGTGATGAATGTCTGAAGCCCTTTTACCATCACGCCAATTCATTGGCCAATAGCGCTTAGCACCGCCCCGAGCATATGTCACGTATGCTCATATGATTTCATCAGATTTCAATTCCTTCAGGAAGCGAATCTTCTGTTGCCCGTCGGAAAGAGATTCTTGGTGTTCTAAGCCATCTATTTTATAGAGCAGTTTACTCCTCTAAGGCGGACACAATCAGTTTTCCGATTAGGGCTGGGCGATATGATGATATTATCGTATATCGACGATGTCTCGTAAGTATCGCGATGTCGATGTCAACAGTCAGGTAACAGACGATTATCGACATTATCGGGAAAAAATGACAAATGACTATAAAGTTTTGTTGCAAACGGATGAAGACATTAGACTTCTCAGGTCGCCCCTCAACATGCATGCGTTTCGAATTTCGACAGCCCAACACTGAATATTATATTGTGCGTGTTGTATTTTGATTAATAAAATAAAAATGATAAAAATTACAATATAAAAATGAAATTTAAATGACCCTGCTTCTAATTAAATAAAGCAGTTTTTTTTATTTCGTTAAAAATGGGCCGAAAGAGACATCCGAACTAGTAGGCTACCAGAAAGGAAAGAAAAAAAAAATGCAGTTTTTGCTCGGAATTCATTTTTAATCCCTGCATGATTTTAGTCATACATGATAAATATCAAATACATTATAGCTTGACTACAAGTTTAAAAACAACGCTGCAATTGTTATAATTAAGGAAATTAAACTTACCATCATGAAATGTGTCTACACAGGCGATAATGCCAAAAAGAAAGAGAAACATCGTAAAATCTGCATATTTTATTCAAGACATTATTATATGACATTAACATGCATTTATCATTCTTACAATCACCGCCAGAATGTCCAACTTCACATGATGAACTTAAAATTGGGTTCTATTATTTTTCCTCAACAGTTCTCACAAAACGAAATTCATTTCAAACACAAATTTGATAAGAACAGAGTGGAAATTATTAGCAACACCAACATAACAGCAAAGCTAATTTTGTCTGTTAGTTTAAGCACAAACTAAGAAAAGTAAAACCAAACTTTGTGGCAATAATTAAGACCAAACTGAACATGGTGTGTGTTTCTGGTGCATGTCGGCAATGTTGTCTCGGCGGGGGCGGGGCGTGTTGGAGGTGGGGCTTAGGTAGACGATATTATCGGATATCGCAATATTTTTTAGATATTTTTCACATATCGCCCAGCCCTATTTCCGATATGCATGGATGCATGTTACACGGACTCACGAGGAAACAGGTAGGAAGACCGCTTCGTGGCCTTTATCTATTGTTGTACCCGTGATATCTGTGTTTGTAAGTGTTGCGTTCTGGGCTCGCTCTCTTTCTGAGGAAATGTTCAACGTTCTTCGTTCAACCCCCGCTGTTCCAGTTTTGCGGTTGCCGAGGCGCCGCTCGGAGCTTGGGGTGATGGCGATAAGCCTGAGTGTACGGAGAGTGAGCGAATGGAATTAATCCCCTTCTCTCTCACTCTCTTCCACGGACCGCGTGCGTTCATCAGAAGAGCGCCTCGTGAGTCCGGTGGTTTAGTTAAATCTGATTCCAGCTCCGGAAGCTCGTAAATCTTTTTTTTTGGCTGCGAATTAGATGATGCATACTCTACAGCGGCCTCGAGCTCTCAAGCTCATAGGTGACACACGCTGTAGATATAAGATAGGGGTTAAGGGGCGTGCTTACTGATATAAAATCCCCGTTTGCTCTTCCCTCCCCTGGATCAAGTGTTTCTCGAGTTTATTAAACAACTATTTATTGTTTAAAAATTTGTTTATTGTATAAAATTATTGGCACTAATTTTAGGACATTTGTCATGCATTGTTTTTTTTCACTTCGAGCTACCAAGCATTAGTTTGCCCGGCTAATTACTATTTCTTTCAGCTCCGCTGCTACATTGAGCTGAAACAAATAAGTGGAAGATCGTGTTTCAGAGTATTTCTTATAGCAAGCTTAACAGTGAGCAGGCGGTTTTCCCCCATCTCTCTCTACCTGCTGCGCTGCACTAATGCAGACAGGTTCATTTTATTGGCCGCTTCCTACTCCTGCAGCTGATGTTTGTCGTGCACTATGGTTTTGGCGCTTCGTGCTACCAAGCATTAGTTTGCCCAACTATTTCCTTCAGCTCCGCTGTTGGTGTCCAGCTGAAACAAATAAGTTGATGAGCTCATGTATAAGAGTATTTCTTATAGACAAGCCTTCTTATTGAAAGCTATAAGCTGCCATATCACCCTGCAGCCCAAGACTGGTTACCCACTGAAGCTAAGCAGGGTTGAGCCTGGTCAGTACCTGGATGGGAGACCTCCTGGGAAAACTAGCTTGCTGCTGGAAGATGTGTTAGTGAGGCCAGCAGGGGGTGCTCACCCTGTGGTCTGTGTGGGTCCTAATGCCCCAGAGTAGTGATGGGGAAACTATACTGACAAAAAGCACCGTCTTTCGGATGAGACGTTAAACCAAGGTCCTGACTCTCTGTGGTCATTAAAAATTCCAGGATGTCCTTCAAAAAAGAGTAGGGGTATAACCTCGGCATCCTGGCCAAATTTGCCCATTGGCCTCTGACCATCATGGCCTCCTAACCATCCCCATATCTGCTGATTGGCTTCATCACTCTGTCTCCTCTCCACCAATAAGCTGGTGTGTGGTGGACGTTCTGGTGCAATATGGCTGCCGTCGCATCATCCAGATGGATGCTGGACAATGGTGGTGGTTGAGGAGATTCCCCCCTTCTATGTAAAGCGCTTTTGAGTGCCCAGAAAAGCGCTATATAAATGTAAAGAATTATTATTATTATTATTATAACATAGTGGCTCGGGTTGTAGAGTGAGGAGATGGTTTTTCCTGTCTCTCTCTACTCGCGGTGCTGCACGAATGCAGGCATGTTCATTTGAATTGGTGCTTACGCTTTCAACTCTTGTTTGTACCGTTATTAGGTGTGGACTCTGAAGAGCCCTGCAGCAGATGTTTTGTTGTGCACCATGGTCTTGGCACTTCATGCTACCGAACGTTGTTCTGCCTGACTAATATAATATTTCTTTCAGCTCCGCTGCTGCGTTGAGCTGAAACATTAAGTGGCAAGCTGTTTTAATATTAATGCTATAATGCCTCCGGTTGTAGAGTTGAGCAGACGGTTTTTCCTATCTCTCTCTCTCTCTCTCTCTCTCTCTACTTCTGCGCTGCACTAATGCAGGCACGTGCATTTGAATTGGTGCTTACGCTTCCAACTCTTGTTTCGTGTACTGCTTTTAGGCACAGACTCTAAGGGTCCTGCAGCAGATGTTTGTCATGCACTATGGTCTTGGCGCTTCATGCTACCAAGCATTAGTCTGCCCAGCTGTTAATTTTTCTTTCAGCTCTGCTGATGCTTTGAGCTGGAACAAATCAGTGGGCGAGCTCACATATCTAGAGTAAATTCCTACGGCAAGCTGTTTTACACCTAATGCCATAGTGACTTGGGCTGCAGAGTGAGCAGGGTTTTTCCTGTCTCTACTCCTGCACTGCATTAATTAAGGCACGTACATTGATTTGGCACTTACGCTTAGGCCTGTCGCGATAATGAAATAACC